CACCACCTGCTGCTCACATCATCATCTCAGGCAGTGCTGACACACTAAAAACATGCAGAGCTAAATTGAGGCATGTGTGTGGCTGTGAGGCTACAGGTGATCACTTCCTGTCGGGTCATGTGACTGTGTGACACTGAGTGATGTCAGTGATGATTACTTACAAACGGCAGCAGGCACTTCTTCACGGCTCCAAACTGCCCGAAGTACTCCTTCATCTCCTCTGAAACACACACAGGAACACGTCAGTCCGAACACCTGAGTGTCTGCACCTCACCTGTCCTGCTTCCTCTCACATCCCCTCACATCTGCCGTCATCTAGTGCTTCGAGTGGGTAGCAGCCTGTCCACCCCCTCCCTCGACCCCACGGAGGATGCCATCACCCTTCACACAGCGCTGAGCTATCTGGAGAACAGGAAGAGCTCCATGAGGATGCTCAACACCAAACTGGACCACCTTCAGATTCCGTGATCCTGGGATCCAGAGAATAACCTGAAGCTGAACATCCTTAAAACCAAAGAACTTATAATGGACCTCAGGAGGCACAGACAGGTCCACTTCCCCCCTCATTATAAACGGAGAACGGGTAGAATCTGTTTCCACCTTCAGGTTTCTGGACACCTACATCTCCCCTGATCTCACCTCCGACCTACAACACCATCGCCGTGGTAAAGGAGGCCCAGCAGTGGCAGCACGTCCTTGGTGTCCTGAGGAAGAAGAACCTGGACCTGCTGCTGGCCTTCTACTGCTCCTCAGTTGAGAGCATGCTCTCCTCATTCAGGTCACTCACACACAGACTGTTCACACCAAGTCTTTTCTACCTCGGAGCACTTCGCTCTCCACTGTGGGCCTTCCTGTTGTTTCTCTACATATTCCTCCTTATTTATTCCTGTTGTCTACTTTTTATATTTTATTCCTGCACAGCGGTGGAGCACCCACAGTTACAGTAAACGCATATTCTATTCTATTCTATTCGTGCTTCAGAGTGTGGACGGAAGCTCAGGATCAGTCAGAGGATCACTCAACTGTGACTCAAGCTAAACTGCTCTGACGTCATCAGCGTGGCCTGTATTAAGGGCAGTCTTTTAACGTGAACTGCCTCAGGTAAAACACCGGTAAGCTGCAGACACGTGACTGACCTACCGGACACCCTAGTGCACGTTAAATTCTTCCCTTCTTCGCGTGCTAATCTACCTGACGATAATCGACACGCGTGATCGGCTGCACACGTCACATGTCGTCACTAAAATCAAACCTGACTGATTGATAATGAGCAGACTCACTGGTGGCCACAGTCCACGGCACTTTGGACACGAACACCTCGAACACTTTCTTGGACGCCGCCATGTTGCTCCCTCTGACCTGTGACGTAATTGTGCGTTCAGGGCCAGCTGGGTAGCGTCTGATTGGTGGGTGCAGGAGTTTAAATATGTGAATTCTTTCAAGCCTAACTTTGAACAAATTTATTTTTCAGAGTTGGTTGTTCTTCCGTTTTTCTCTCAAATCCTTTTAACCAATATTTCGACGTGTCTGCATTTTATTTGTAATCTATTTCTTATTCCTGATCAAGGCTCTGAATAAAATCATTTTTAAGAAAAAATGATTTCCGAGGTTCAGTAAATGCAGCTTCGATCACGTGATTGAGCACCGTGACCCGCGTGCACAGTGACATTGAAACATGTTACAGTTTGTCTCTCCCCGCTCGCGCTGTTAACTGTTTAAATATCTGTTTGTTTGTTTGTTTGTTTTGTTTTTTCATTTTTGTTAGTTTTTACTTCCGGAGCAGGGCGTGCAAGACAGTGACGTCATGGCTAAGATGGCAGCCTCCATGGTGGAGGGTGGAGAGGATTCGTTTCGGAAGATATTCAAGTTTTACAGGAGAAGGAACCCCCCGCCGGACCTTAGCGACGTCATCGACTTTTCCAGGTGTGCGCCCGGTGAACAGGTGAGAGCAAAGCGCGCTCCCGGCGTCTAGCAGCCATCTTTCTCCTTGTTCTTCTTCATGGGTGAGTTTGAAGTAGGGCTGCTCTATTATGGCAAAAATGATAATCACGATTATTTTCACTGAAATTGAGATCACGATTATTTGACGATATTTATTTAACCCTTTAAGACCTACTATAGAACCAAGTCCACCAGAGCTTATATTATTTTTTTTTACATGCTGTAGTGCCATTTGTGGGAGCATTTCAAGTTGCTATACATCAATACAACTGTTATAGCCCATATTTTAATAATACATATGCATTAAGTCCATAGTAATTACATAAATTGCAAAAAAGTGCAATAAACTACAAAAAAAATTGAAAATCGCTTTTGTTTTGTTTACATATATTTCTACTTGGAGAAGTTTAAGAGGTTTATCCCTCAAAACTTTAAATAC